ACGCGAAAGGGATTTTCTAGAGCTCCAACAGGTCAAAAGGATCCATGAACGATTAGAGAGGGGACTGAAACTGGCAACCGATAGAGAAAGAGAAAYTAAAAATAGAACAGCCAGGCTTGAAACGTTAGAGGCTGACAAAGCTGAGTTAGAGGGTTTGAATGAGTCAGGATTGACTGAACCAATGAAAGTATTGAAGAACAATATGCTGTCACTGCATGCGCATGTGGACAATCGATTGGACTTTATGCAGAACACTCTAGACCAGATCCTGGACATTTTGCAAAGGCCAGGATTTAGGCCACCAGCACAGTCACTGTTGCCGTTAACGGCGATATCAGGCCCCTTTCCCGTACAAGCTGGCACACAACCAAGGGGCACATCTGCAACAGTCTCACAGACTGTTGCTTCTTCTTTTTCCGGTCCAGCGGTGGGAGCTACACCACCACAACAACCTGTTCCTTCATAGGGACAGCCGCAAGGTCAGTGGTACCCTAAGACCCCTATGAAACCACCTCTTGCCTTCTTAGGTGAGAAGAAGGACGAAGAACTCAACACTTGGTTGAGAACAGTCCCGGTTTGGGTGAAGGCGAAGAGGACCTTGCAGGAGGAGGAGGTGATAACTGTTGCATCTTACCTTGAGGGTAAGGAAGCGAAATGGCTGGATGATGTAGTTACAAAGGCCGAATATGGGAGACGCATGGCGGACTGGGCTCAGTCTCTTACGTTAGACCAGTTCTTGGAGATGGTAGAAGCTCGCTGGCACAATTCTCAGCAGGCGCAATTGGCCACTGATGCGATAAACAGACTAGACCAACGAAAGTTTAAGTCAGTCAGAGAACTTACGACTACCATTGACAGCCTAATCGTCGTTCCTGGTATCAACTACAATAACCAGTTCTTATTGACAACGCTTGTGAGATGTCTCCCAGAGAATTTCAAAAACTTGCTGGCCAGCGAGGCACGCCTCGAGTATCACTCTTTTGAGACATTGTCTAGAAAAGCCTTAGATTTGGAGGCCACTCTAGGGAATGCTCAACCTACTCAGAATGACACGAGGAAGAAGAAGAGTCCGCAGGAATGGAAAAAGAAGGGGGCTAAGTTGATGATGGTTGAGTCCGATGGAACTCAAACAGAGATCGATGAGCTCACAGACCTGCTGGACGTTTCAGAGTACGACGGCGAGGAGACTGCTAAGGGTAGCACCCTCGCCGCATTAGTTAAGGCTAAGGTTGGTGGTCGAGTGAAGGGCCAACCAAAGAGTCAAGGGAAGGCCGCCTCCAATCAGACCAAAGTGGCTGATTGGGTCAAGGCAGGTCTTGATCAAGACTTGTGGCGGGACCGCCGAGTGCGTGGCGCTTGTATAAACTGTGGTGAATACGGACACACCCAGTACAAGTGCCAGAACGCAAAGGTCACGCAGAAGATACCTCCTAAGATGGGGGCATCTTCTTCCCAGGCTTCTAGCTCGGGAAACATGTGAGGCCGATGGAAGTTTTAGCTGCTTCTACTCATGGTGAAGTGGGCTTGATACCCTCCCCACTTCATGAGCAGGCCATAGCTAATGACTCTTTAGTCACCCCGCAGACTCATCCGGACCAAACAATGCTCTATACGTTAGATGTGTCTGAAGCCTTAGAAGATTTAGAAAGTGAATGGTCAAACAAGGACCCTCGCGAATCTTGGGTGGCACTAAGGAAAGGTCCTAGAGGGGAACATTTCGTGGTGGAAGTCGATGTAGGAGGCCGCAAATGTGGTGCCTTCATAGACATTGGCTCCACGCGGAATTACATAAGTCGCGACTGATTGGAAAGGCTGCACCTACAGGACCGGGTACAGCACCTTAGTAGACCCGTAGCATCTACTTTGGCCAATAAGGAGCGCATGATAGTCACAGACTATATCAAGGACGTAGTYTGTACCTTCTCCTATGGAGGAGGGGAACTGAATCATAAGATTTCGTTCTTGGTAAGCGACGACTTGCCGTTTGACATGTTGTTAGGCATGTACTACCTTGAGGTTGCTAAGCCCCAGTTCGACTGGGACAAGAAGGTGCTTAAACRTAAGTTGCCCGATGGCAGAACAGTCAGATTGACTAAGTTCAAAGCCAGTAGCATTATAGATACCTATGGCTGCTTGTGTGCATCAGCGTTCTACAACTATTACAAACAGAACCAAGAGGAGGGTATGTACCTAGTGTATGTCTCTGAGAAAGGGGAGGCCGTTAGAACACCCCCAGAGATAGAACACGTCGTTGCTAAGTTCCCTGATCTGTTCGAAGAGCCTACATGAGTTGTAGAAAGGGAAGTTGTCCACGCTATAGAAATCATTCCAGGGAGTAAAACCCCAAAGGGAAGCATCTATAGGATGGCTCCCGCCGAGTTAGATGAACTTCGGCGACAACTGAAAGAGCTGACAGAGAAGGGATGGATCCGGCCTAGTACTTCCCCTTACAGATCTCCAGTACTATTTGTACCAAAGAAGGGGGGTACATTGAGGATGTGCATTGACTACAGAGGCCTCAATGCCATCACAGTGAAGAACGCAGAGCCTCTACCTCGCATAGACGACCTACTGGATAGGGTGCAGGGATGCAAGTACTATAGCAAGATAGACTTGAAATCCGGCTATCATCAGATCACTATAAGACCTGAGGACCAACACAAGATAACTTTTTAGACTCGATATGGTCTGTATGAGTTTGTAGTGATGCCCTTTGGTCTTTGCAATGCGCTGGGAACATTCCAGCATGCTATGAATCGGATCTTCCATGACCATTTAGATAAGTTTGTTGTGGTTTACCTTGACGATATTCTGATCTTTAGTAAGTCTGTCGAGGAGCATGCACAACACGTTAAGACTGTACTTTCACTCCTGCGACAGTACAAGTATAAGGTCAACTTCGAGAAGTGTGAGTTTGGTCGCACTAAGATATTATACTTGGGTCATGAAGTATCCGCGGAAGGGATTAGGCCGGAAGATGCGAAAATGGCTAGTATTCGAGACTGGCCACGACCTCAGACTGTCACCGAGGTCAGATCTTTCTTAGGAATGTGCGGCTACTATAGGAACTTCGTAAAGAACTATTCTACAGTCGCCTCTCCTTTGACAGATCTAACTCGACTTGACACGCCGTGGGACTGGAGTGATGAGTGCGAGGGTGCTTTCAAGCGATTGAAGCATGCACTCATGAATCATGAAGTTCTCATGGTTCCCGATCCTCAGAAGTCGTTCATAGTGATCACTGACGCAAGCCAATACGGCATTGGCGCAGTGCTGGCTCAGCAGGATGGGAAGAAGTTGAGACCGATTGAGTACATGAGCAAGAAAATGCCATCGAAGAAATTGGCAAAGTCCACCTACGAAAGGGAACTCTATGCTCTCTACAAGGCACTTGTCCATTGGAGACACTTTCTGTTGGGACGGTTCTTCTACTTGAGAACTGACCATCAGACGCTGAAATGGATCAAGACTCAACCGGCTCTTTCTGATGCACTCAAGCGCTGGATTGAGGTCATAGATCAATATGACTTCAAGCTTGAGTATCTGAAGGGAGAGTACAACAAGGTTGCAGATGCGCTATCTCGTAGAGCAGACTACCTAGGGGCGCTAGTTTCTGAGTTTGGTGTATCCCAGGAAGTAACTCAATCGTTGGTGGGAGCCTATCAGGAAGACCCTATCATGATGGACATCATGCACAAACTTCAGGCAAAAGACAAGGCCACAGAAAGTGAGTTTGTGATGGTGGATGGGTTACTCTTTCTTGATAAGGTCGGGTGTAAAAGGTTGGTAGTTCCATCGAGTGAGAGTTTGCGTAGTTTATTTCTAGGAGAATGTCACGACGCAACTGAACACTTCGGCTACAAGAAGACGAGTGCTAATCTAGTACAGCGATTTTGGTGGCCTGGAATGTTAGATGACGCAAAGAAGTATGTAGAGACCTATCAGGTCTGTCAGCGGGACAAGCCGCGAACTCAAGCACTGCTTGGGTCGCTGAAGCCCTTACCTATCCCCGCTGGTCCATGACAGAGTGTTTCCATGGATTTCATGGACACCCTGGTGACCAGTAAGAGCGGCAAGAGGCACATTTTCGGCATCATCGATCGATTCACCAAGTACGCTAGACTAGTTGCCATGCTAGAGACCGCCAGGACGGACCACGTCATCAAGTTGTTTATGGACAACTAGGTGCGTGATTTTGGACTTCCAAAGTCAAACGTTAGTGACAGAGATGTCCGATTCACAAGTGAGTTGTGGAAGAAGACTGTTGAGCAGATGGGCAGTCAACTTCAGATGACTTCAGGGAATCATCCCGAAGCCAACGGGCAGGCCGAACAAAGTTATACAACACTTGCTGAGGCATTACATCAAGCCCAGCCAGGATGATTGGGATGAGAAGTTGCCTCTCATCGCCAGCCTGTACAACAATGTTGTACACAGCAGTATCGACGTCAGTCCTAATCAGCTGCACTTGGGATGGAAGCCTATATCAGCTCAGCAAGCAATAATTGGGATTTCCTCCTACCTGAAAACCGATCCTCCGCAACTCCAGGCACACTTGAGTATGGTGTGCAGTATGAGAAGTTGCTGCAGCAAGCTGTCGAGCACATCAAGAAAGCTCAGCAAGCAATGATTGCTTCTGAGAACAAGCATCGACGACAGTCCTCATCTCAGGTAGGGGAACGTGTCTGGGTCAAGGCTAGCGAGCTAGGACAGGAATTCGGTATCTCTAGAAAACTAATGCCTCAATATTTTGGTCATTGGGAAGTCGTGGATGTAGTGGGGGATGAAATGGATGGTCCTACATATGTTATCTGTATCCCTGGGCACTTACGCACTCACCCTGTCTTTCATGCCTCAAAGCTTGCACCTTTCGTTGAGACCGATCAATTCCCTTCAAGGAGATCGATGCTGCCCCCAACCATGGATGGTCAAGTGGACATCGACGACATTGTGGATCACAAAGATCTGCCTGTTCAGAAGCCATTGGGTAGAGGAAGACCTCCAAAACCCAAGCGGGAGTATCGCGTCAGATTCAGGCATCATATAGATCCAAAGGAAGATCGATGGTTCACCAGAGATGAACTAATTGACACAGCTCCTCAAGTGGTGGCAGAGTACGAGAGAATGTTAAAAGGGAAGGCACCTGCGAAGTAAGCATCTCAGCGGATTTTCGAAGCTAAGGGGGATGGAATGTGAGGATTGAGCCCTCGAGAAGGGGCCTTGCCATGATGTACATGTTCTGGGCTAAGGCCCCAGCAAGCCTAGTGCCCGCCCTAAGTGAAGGCGGGCCAGCAAATCAACAAGAGCCCTCTGTGCAAACATTTCACGAAGTGGGGTCCATACAGTTGCAGCACGCCAGTTGGTTGGTGTGCACCGAGTATCGGAGCTCCGGAAATGCAGAAATCCCAGGGCCCCGAGTTGGTTAGGCACTGGGCACATAAACGTGAGGCCGACAATGCATGCTGGATATAGAGGCCGAAAATGCCAAAGGGAAACCGGTCCACTATCTGAATCTGGCCGCAGGCCTTGACGAAAGAGGCGCAACTGCATCTCCTGGGCCCCCAACTGCATCGGGCCCGGGTACAGGCACTGGGGCCCAGGCACASGCTCAAGGGAGGCCGCCCACACGCAACACTGGCATATAGGCAAGCARGGCGAGTGGGCAGGGATCTTRGCCATTGCGGGCAATGCCGGCACGCTGCGCAAATGCGAGCTGCTGCGCTGCGCTAGGCTGAGGTGCGAGACAGGCAGGCGCTAGGCGGTAGGGCGCTGCCTGTGCACAGGGCGCTGGCGGCCATAGCCGGGCTGCCTGAGGGCGCAGGGGAGGTGAGGGCGAAGGTGGTTCTTCGGATGTGAAGGGCGCTGTGTGGGATAACAAGGGAGAGTGTGGGTGAAGGAGGAGACGTACCTGGTGGAGGTGGAGGTCAGCATTGGTGTTGACATCATCACTCGCTGGTCGTCAAGTTGTCTGGTTGCTTTCATAGTGTAGTTGTAGTGTTAGGCTGTAGAGTAGGTAGGGCGCCTGGCGCCATTCAAGAGAGAGAGCTACATTGGGTTATGCTGTTGGTGTTGCCCTGTTGGGCTTGGACATTGACTCATGATTCTTCTGTATCGTTCTCAAATGGATGGTTACTCGGTTCCATTGTGCTATCTGCTCTTGCTTTGACTACTTGGACTTCAGTGTGATTTTGCAATCTGAATTTTTGTGCTTCGTCCATATTCATGTTCCTTGCAAAATAAAACTAATAATAAAAATATGAAAAAATGAAAAGAGAATTAAAATTAGTGAATGAGCGCGAACGTTCTTGACACCGCCATCCTTCGCGATTTTTCATTTTGTTTTGGCACAGCCAAATGCCCTGAAAATTTACAGATGTGTACTTCACACATAATACAAAACTATTTAAATAAGTTTCAGGAAATAATAAAATTGTTTAGGCCCCGCAATAAGTGACAACGAAAAGTAAAAAGCAAGGCTAGAGTGGCCCGGGGTCACTTGCCCGACCGGCCCAAAAAGAATCAAATAAATAAAAATTAAACAATTATTTTTAAAATTATTTGTTATTCTAAATCTGGTGAAGAATTTCGATGTGACCCTGAGGCAAACGTTGTTCAGTTTATTTTCTGCATAACATAGTTTTTTTCCGGATATTTTGGAATTTCTTTTTTCTTTTGTTTTTTTGCTGGGACCTTCCCTGGTCCTTGCACAGACTGGCCACCCAGGACCCGGGCAGCCCGGCTGGTAGCCTAGGTAAAAAGTGAAAAAAAAACAAAATAGTGGGTGGGCGAGCACATTTTGACACCGCCATCTTTGGCGATTTTTTTTTTTTTTTTGGCTTAGCAAAATGACTTCAAAATTTATAGGCATGTACCTTACATCATAGAGAACTCACAAAAAAAAATCAGAAAAAAGAACTTGTTTTTAGGCCCCGAAATATTTTTTGGCGGGGGCCGAACGCCTTCGGGTTTGGACCCCGAACGGGACTCCGAACGCCCGTATGTACGGAGGTCCGCCCGGGGACCTGCGTACGTACGGGCTGGTGACCCTGTATGTATATATATTTTCCCCATGGTTGGGGTATTTCGTTTGCGGACCTACTGTATGGTTCCGTTTTTTTACTATGGATATGGTAGAATTTGTTATGGTAACTTTGTCTGCGTCCCTGTTGGTTTTGTCCCGTTGTTCGGTCTATTTTGGAATGCGTAGCAGTGCTTTCATGTGGGACTTGTCATCCGACTTCTTTTTTATTTTGGCATCCTGGTTGGTTGTTTCCCATTGTTCGGCCTGTGCATTTGGGGGCGGTGCTTTTATGTGGGAATCGTCATATGGGATCGCCTTTTATGTTTTGTTTGACATCCTTCAGCACAGACGGCAGCAGTCACAACAGATTGATTCCTTCTTTTTGCAGGCAAGGTGTTTTGATATTCTGGTGGTCTTGTCCCGTCGTTTGGCGTGTGACGTGGGGGCGGTGCTTACATGTGGGACTTGTCATCTAGGATTTGTTTCCCCCTGTTTTGTTGTTTTTGGTTGTTTCCTTCCTCTTTTCTTTGCCTCTTTGCCCTTTGGCTGTGTGCAGTGGGTCGATATGACACACGGGGGAGGGGGCAGCCACCGCTCAACCTACATCCTCATGGGCGGCCTTGTACGCAAGAGGTTCTGAATAGGGGGAGTTGTAAGGAAGACGATAAAAAAACAAATGAATTTTTTCCTTGTTTTCTTTCTGTGTTTTTCGCTTTTGCACTCTTATATTCTTGTGACAATATACATACATATATATATATATCCTACCCCTTAAGCAGCATTGGCCGCGGGGAGGAGGTCGATGGTCCACTGCGCGCCGGAATCGGGTCGAAGTTTCGGTGCTGGCCGGCGGATGAAGGCAATCGAGGGCGGGTGGGCGTGCAGAGTGGCGCGCGTACCGAATTGTTCACAGCGCGCCACTAAACGAGAGAGTGTGCCCACGGGCCCGGGTACACGGCGGGCGTCGATGCGGATGAATATCTCGACGCGCCCGCCGTCAGATAGCATTTCCGTGTCGGTTTGTGTCCGGCCCCCTTTGTAGTGGATGGTAGTATGTGAGGACCGGGGAACATCCCTTGGTCGGCCGAATTGGATACTGGTTCGTTACGCGAGTAGTACCCCGTGGTTCTGAATTTTCTTGGACCAGGAAGCACCCCTTTGTCTGTTGAACTAGATGCTTGTTTATCACGCGAGTAGTACCCCGTACTTCTGGAACTTTCAGAGGAACTAGGAGACCGCTTTTTAGGGTCTCAGAGTACCAGGTGTGTCTAGAAGAGGGTCCGGACGGTTTCGTGTCGTTTGGCGCCTTCTTGTTTTCTAGCACGTAGAACTTGCCGATAGAATGAGCTATATGTACGGAGACAACGTAGGGAATGACCTCCTCGTCCGAAAGGACGTTGTTTTGACTCCGCGACGTAGTACCGACCGGCGATGTCTTTGACTAGCTATGTCGGACTTTTTAGTCGCGGGTTACATTTTTGAGCTTCACGATGACATTGTTAACAACCACGTGTTAGCATGTTGATTCTTCAGTAATTGATGTGACATTTGACAACTTTGAGCTCCATGCTTTATTCGTTATTGCATTCGAGTCGTGCTGTGACTGCGTTCTTTGGAGTATTGTTTGCTTCCTGCAATTATGATCGTAACCTGCTAGGAGATAATACCTGGAGAAGGTGGTGATTAGTGTTACCTGAGATTTGAAGACATGCGCAAGATAAGACAGTGTTCGGGGACAGGGAGACAACGAGGATGAGTGGAGGGAGTGGAGGACCGCAGAAGGGATCGTCAAGACCGATGGATGAGAGGAAATGTTATAAGTGCGGGAAGGAAGGACATTTCATCTGGGACTGTGCAGAGTACTGGAGGGCAAAAGCTCGAGGGGAACCTTTTGTTCCTGCCTCGTACGGAGCATCTGGTACGAGGACTGGCAGAACGACTATGACATCGACTACGGATGAGTATGTACGGCGGAGCAGATCGGCGGACAGTGGGGTGACACGCGCCGAAGTGGATGACACGGGATCTCTAATGAGAGAGTATTTCTCTGAAATGGCTCGAGAGAGGAGGGCCAGACGCGAGAGGGAGGAAGTGGAAGAGAGGAACAGGAGAGAAGAAGAAGTCAGGGCCGAGAAAGAGCGGAAAAGAATGCAGAGAGAGGAGGAGAGACGGCTTAGAGAAGCAGATCGTGACGCACGACTCCTGAGAATAATCCGAGGCAAGATGTTGGAAGATGTTGGGGGAAGACAGGAGACTCAAGGACGTCGGGGTAAAGGAGCAGCGAAAGTAAATGAGTATGGCGAAACAATCGAAGAAGAGAAAGAACGTCTTCGCAGGGCTATTGCGAAGCAAGAGGAAGAAGAGGCAGACACCGAGGATGATGAACTTTGAATGTTAAGAATTCGAGCGGAAAAAAAGGAGATTAAAGAGGAGAGGAAGCGAGGGGTGGACTTCTACGATGCGCTCACTATCGAGGAGCTTAAAGAGGTGTGCCGCCGTGAACAGATAACTTATGGGAATCGCGACCTGGCAATTAAGCGGCTCGTGATCAGAAGGGCGGCAGTCGCGTATGATCCATCGTACCTGCCTCTGCCACCTTCTCCGAGATCTCGAGCGAGGAGCGGTGGTGATGCCACTGAATGCAAGGAGGAGGCGTGTACTCCACCGCAGGATTCGGATTCGGCTTCCAATGAGTCATCAGAGTGAAGACAGAGGGAGTGTAAGTTCTATAAGAAGGAAGCGCAACGGATTAGCGAACTCAGACTAGCGAGGGGCGGTAAGAGAAAGGTAGAAGAGAGTAAGTTGAGAGCGGCTGTGATCGGAATTGCCCTGAATGGCGGATTAAAATGGGGAAAGAAATTCATTGGATATTGGGAAAAGGAGGCGGAAAAGGGGTCTCTGGATTTAGCCGGCTGGTTGCGTTTACGTTCTGACATCTCCCTGGTATAAACAGGTATATATCGAGTATACTGAACGTGAATTATGGTCGAGATGGCGAGAGAACTACTGCGGTGGAGAGGGTAAAGGGAAAAAGCGGAAGAGGAAGTTGTACAACTGGATGGGAAAAATTGGGGTGCACAAGTATGTGGCGATCCCGGTTTTTACGAGTACGGACAGGAAGGAGCTGGAGGCGGTAGAGTCCACATTGATTAGGATATGGTCACCTGCTTTAAACTCAACAGGAGGAGGGGAGAAGAAGGGCGGGAAGAAGAGTAAAAAGAGGCCTGGAAGGAAGGAACATCATCGAGGACGGCGACAGGAAGAATGCGACAAGGGTAAGAAGAAATCAGCGAACCTGGGAAAAATCATAGAATTTAACTCAAAGGAGCTGGGCAACGGAACTGTCAATGTCGTAGAACTACTTAGAACGCTAGGCAAGAAGCGGGGTAAGAAAGGGGACAGGGTGATCGTTAGCTCGGGAGGCGATACTTGGGCGGACGGATGGCGGTTGGTTCAAAGGCTTTTCGGTGAGACGAGGGTAAAATGGGGGCGGGGGACTCGACCTCTGAGAAAGTGTAAGAACGTATTCAAAGCAGGTGGTTTGATCACTTTGCGACGAATTACTGAGGCCTCGCCTATGAACTTGAAGTTGAGGGACGATATGGTGAGCATGTTCAAATGCCCCTGGAAGAACAAGAACCTAAGGAATTTGAGTCTGACCGATCTGCTGAAGTATTACGGGGCTATGAAGACCTTCACGACTAAAAGGAGCAGGGGAAAGGCTAGGTTGATGATCTCGCAGGCGATTAAAGAAGCGCATGGTATGAGTGTTCGGAAGCGAGTAGTGGTAAGGATTAGATTTGATGACAGGATAAAGAAGAGCGAAGTTACGAGGCTGGTAAGAAGGAAGATCAGGAGTTTGGATTTAGTCAAGCCAATGAAGGAAATGGAAAAAAGGCGGGCACGCGTTGTGTGGACTAAGTCCCCGAATGTGGGCAGTCTTCTACACAATCATCGACGGTTTGCGTCGACTGGTGCCTCCAGCTGTACATGTGCTGGAATGGCCTATCCTAGACGGGATGGGCACGTGCATTTCCGGATTGGTGAGTTGAGCTGGATTCCACCAATAGTGAAGAACGCTAAGAATGTACCTAGACCACAGGAGGAACGGAGGGAGTGGAGATTGGTTGAGGAAGTCAAAGAAGCTTTCACGTTTGGGCTAATGATTTGGGAGTACCGTGTGGTAAGATTGTGGTAACACTTGAAGACACGGTGCAATGTTTTGCAAAGTTGGAAGTGGAGGATGAGCGAGGAGTGAGGTTGGACGAGGTACTGAGAGTCAAAGAGAAGCTGAAGGGGTTGGTGTTGGCGCCGCTGGACAGGAACCCCGGCTATACGCTGGTGCAGTGCCCTGCCCTGTATGCGAAAGGGATGGAGGAGACCTTTTTTGAGAACGATAGCTACAGGGTTTGTGAAGAAGACGAAGTGACAGAACTCGGAGTGGCCTTTTGTGAGTATAAAAAGAAGGGTCTGGAGCCCCATGGAAGATGGAACGGGAACGGAAGGATTGGTGATGCTTACGCACTTCCGAAACACGGATACGGGTAAGTATCGACCTATTTGTCCGACCTTCGAGGAGCCTTCGATTAACGCTTGTAAGAAGGTTGCGCAGGCGGTTAACTGCTTGCTATTTTCCCTCCCTGAATATGGCCATCTGAATCTGAGGGCTGTCTCGGACATAAAATCCAGATCAATGAATATCAACAGGAAGTTTGGAAGAACCGGGAAGGAAGTTGAAGTAATTGGAGCCTTGTACGATGTTAAAGACATGTTCAATAAACTGCCGCATGATTCGATTAAGAGGACAATCGAGTGGGTCCTGTGGTGGTTTCGTGAAAAAGGGTTTGATGAAGTGCATGTCAAGAGACGTGGAAAGGGTGCAAGAATGAGCAAGGCGATGAGAATGGATGGGTTCGAGCCGATCTCGTTCAAGTACCTGATGGATTTTGTCTTGTTCGAATTGGATTTTTGTTACACAAGTATTGGGAATTTTGATGAAGCAAACCGTGGGCATACCAATGGGCAAGAGCTCGAGCCCCCCATTGGCGTGCCTACTGTGTGTCAAGAATGAGTGGGATTTTTTCCTTACTCTGGGAAGCCAGAAGCGGTTGTTTGATGGGATGCGATTTGTCGATGACGTATCTGTTTACGCTGCCTTCAACCCGCGGAGAAGAGGGTCAAGGGAGAAGGCCTTATCCATGATCAAGAGGTTTGAAAGGTGTTATGATAAGGCGCTCACCTTGAAGAGAACGAACGAAGGGGAGGACAAATGGATTTTCTTGGGTTGTAGATTGAAAATCAGGAAGTCCTTTCCCTTTCTGGGAACGGTGCATCTGTCGAAGAACGACGACGATTTGAGGAAGAATCGTGACCTCACATTCCGCACGATTCAAGATTTTGGATCTTGGACGTGTAAACGGATGAAGATGGTCGTGATTGTTGGGGCGTTACACCGGATTGACCAGAACTCCAACGATTGTATGGAAATCGTTGACACCGTCGTACTTTTCAGAATGGAATTGAGGAAGAGGGATTATCCCGGTGATTGGTTTGGGAGGGCACTGAGAAGTTTTGCGAAAGGAAAGAGGCCGATTTGAAAATTGCTTGCTTTGTTGTTGACAGATAGCACGCTGATAAACTGACCCGTCGTTTGCATGTTTTTGCATAGCTTTTGTGGATTTTTCTGTACTTTTTATGTGTGTATAATTCTCTTTGCGCTTACCTTTGTAGTGGATGGTAGTATGTGAGGACCGGGGAACACCCCTTGGTCGGCCGAATTGGATACTGGTTCATTACGGTACCCCGTGGTTCTGAATTTTCTTGGACCAGGAAGCACCCCTTTGTCTGTTGAACTAGATGCTTGTTTATCATGCGAGTAGTACCCCGTACTTCTGGAACTTTCAGAGGAACTGGGAAACCGCTTTTTAGGGGCTCAGAGTACCAGGTGTGTCTAGAAGAGGGTTCGGTCGGTTTCGTGTCATTTGGCGCCTTCTTGTTTTTTAGCACGTAGAACTTGCCGATAGAATGAGGTATATGTACGGAGGCAACGTAGGGAATGACCTCCTCGTCCGAAAGGACATTGTTTTGACTCCGCGACGTAGTACCGACCGGCGATGTCTTTGACTATCTATGTCGGACTTTTTAGTCGCGAGTTACATCTTTGAGCTTCACGATGACATTGTTAACAACCATGTGTTAGCATGTTGATTCTTAAGTAATTGATGTGACATTTGACAGCTTTGAGCTCCATGCTTTATTCGTTATTGCATTCGACTCGTGCTGTGACTGCGTTCTTTGCAGTATTGTTTGCTTCCTTTACTTCCCTTTTTTTTTATTTTATTTTTGTGTTTTGTAAAAAAAAATTAAAAAAATTGGCGTTTTGTTTCGTATTCTTGTTGTTGTTGTTTTTCGTTCTGGCGTTGTCAGAGGGCGCGGTGTCCCGACCCTCCTCTGTGTGCCAGGTTCCAGCTCAGTGCCTGTTTCTCGCTCAGACGCCAGCGGCTCGTCGGGTAGTTCCCGAGCCTTTGTGACTCTCCTGGAATACTCGAGTAGTATCCTGCAACGGACCGGTCCAGTTGGTGCCTGCCCTCAGCAAAAGGGTGTGCCACTGGGCTTTCCATTGGTCCACGCAGGCTCGGCGCCCTGCTGCACAGCAGAGCACTACCGGCCTCTGGTCGTGGTAGCCGCCGGGCTCGCCCAGGGACGCGGAAGTAAATAGACCGGCGTGGTCTTTTCTACTGCGCGCCGAGTGCCTTTTAGTCGAGTTATGGGGTAGATGCGTGAAGTTGCGGTCACTGTCGAGCGGAGGAAGTTCAAGTGAGGCAAAAGAAAAAGCAAAAAAAGAATAAGCGAAAAGAAAGCCACAGAGTCAGATTTATACGCGGATTTGGACCGACGCCTTAGTTCGGGGAAACTCAGTGTCTACAGGCTACTGTGTGGTTACAATTTTCTTACTCTTCCTATTTTATTAGGTTTTTATTATTATTATTGTTATTAATTTTCTACTAGTAGATTCGCCAGACGCGGCTTCTTCTTTCGTTTTCTGTCACTCCGCGAGGAAGCTAACGGCTCAATTTCGGGCTGCGATTGCCGTCCTGTGGCCAAACTGGCTCGACTCTTCGCTTCTCACTGTGACTGACCTGTTCGATTGGGTGTCGCTTGGTAAGATCCCAAAAGAGGGGTAACCCACAGCCGCTTCGGTAGGAGACCTATCACCCCCAGATGGGAGGCCATAGGCCCCCTCCTTGCCATCGAATACAGGTACCCGTCAAGGGTAGTCTGGCGGTGTATTTTGAAGAGGGAAGGACGGTCATCGGTATCCCATTATGGGACCACCACGTCGGATCTGGCATCATTTATTCGAAAGGAAAAATGAAAAGGACCGGTGGTCGACTGTGAAAAGCCTGCATGTGCTGCGACCGTTGGAGTTCGGCTCCGCTGCTTCCCTTCGGTCTACTTGTTTCACGAGATTTTAAAAAATAAATGTTTCCCCTTTCCTTTGTTATTTTATTTTATTTTATTTTATTAATCTACGAATCATAGATTTTCAAAATTTGGAATACTGAAAGTTATTTGAGTCCTTCATTTAGAGCGTCGGGATCACGGTGATCAGCAACCTTATAAAAGAGAGAAGGGGGCAAGCCTCTACCTACCGAAGTATGAGCAGCCTCGCCGCGATGCTTGGTGGTAGAACTGGTAGGAGGATCGTGCAGCTGGCAGACCTGCCTACCTGTGCGTACGTTGAAGTACTAAGGCCTGACTATTCAGGAAACAGGTGGCCTGGCACTCACGGTCTGTTCAGGAGGGCTCAGCCATGGTGCGCAGCAGCGGGCTATATGGCTACCGGCCAAGATGCCTCCAGCATCTCTGGAGGTGGGAGCAGATATCTGGGGATGGGCCTATTGTGACGGTCGTGTTGGACTACAGCTAGGGCAGGCAAGAGGCGAAACTGAAGATAAACGTAGAAGGGGGGAGAGAATATGAAATGTGAGCAGACCAAGGCCTGCAGATGGCAATTACGGAGGCCAGGGACCGCGCCGAGAGAAGGTGCAGGCGGGATGGAGTTGCGAACGAGATAAAAGTGAGTGTTGCGTACCTAGACGGGGGGACGTCCACGGATACAGTGGAGTGGGAACAGCGGCACCTGGACAGCGACACAGAAGCGGAGAGCGATGAGAGTGATTTGGAGGCCACCACCTAGTCCTGGCATGGGTGGGAACAGTGGAAGCGGGACCACCCGTTGACTGGACCGGTGGAGAGCGGCCCAGAGGCCAGCTCGGGACGACATGAGCGCGATCAAGATCGTTAGGCGAACACGGGAGGCTCACTCATGATAGTTGAGAAACAGACTGAGACCAGGATGCACGAGAGAGAGAGAGAGAGGCAAAGGGGGATATATCTGCGAATACAGCAAGTATGCTCGAGAGGTTGACGTCAACTTGACTTCTGCGCGTGGGAAGTTAGGACGATGGGACACGCGTGAGAACTAGAGCGGGAAGGAGTCAGCCACGATCGGAGGGAGAGGGACTCGACTCTCAAAGCGCAAGATAATCGTTGAGAGTTTTCAGGCGCGCACCTTTTGACTAGCCCGTAACCTCGCCTGCTATGTCCGGGGTAGGTGCTCTTCCACAGGGTGAAGCCCACCTCTCAAGCAAGCGGATGAAAGAAAGTGAGTTTGCGCACGCTCTCCGGTCAGCCAGTACTTGATCAATCAAACGTTGTGCTAGCCCCTGTATGATCGGGGAAACGCCATATGCTTGAGAGCTGAGTAGGGAAAGAGATGCACGCAAGGGTTGCTCGCGAGGGTGAGAGAGAAGGGTCTCGGTGGTCAACGTGCGACTGAGAGATGTCAGTAGAGCAGAGAGCTAGAGGACGTGAGTGGTTACGAGAGACAGGGCGGGGGAGACACAAGTAGACGCAATCGAGAAGGAGAAGAGCAGGGAGGAGAGCGCACATAAGTTAGACATGGACGTCATTAGTGGTGCAGAGGCAGACACTTTGAGGAAGGGTCTGTAAGGTTGAGGAGAGTCTGTTCAGTCATCATCTTTGCCTGGGATCCGTTTCCCGCCGTGTTCTTGAAGAGTCGCCTCCCTTGCTGAAGTTCGGGTGCGGTCATGTTTTCAGGGCAGCGATCATCGACACAACATTCTTGAGGCAGGCAAGACGAGAGGGATGCTTAGTGAAGCGAACACTAGTATGCTGCGGGGACCACAGCGTGTGATTCTAGCATGCTCGGATGATGGGAAGACTCTGTTGTTTTGCTACCCCTTCACTCGGTATGCTCTCGCTGTCTTGACGGTGTCGGCGCGAATACCCTTACAAGGGTATCTGCCCTGGTTTTTGCAAGTGGCAGAAAATAACTTTGGTTTAAAAATTAAATATACCGCGCGAGTCGCGGCAGGGTTCGTTGTCTATGCGGCTGATGGTTGACTAGAATAAAGAGCGTGTGGGCGCGCAGATTTGAGGCACGCATGATCTTTTTATTTTTTTTGACGATTGAAAGGCCGGCGTGATCGCCAGCCAGTATTTTTTTTCTCCTGATTAAATGGGAATTCGAAAGGCTACGTCTCTTTGATTAATGTGCTACTTATGACGTGAGCGTACGTGCGGAGGACAGCATCGACATCAAGGTGACTTTGGAAGGTGTCCCGGCAGTTCGGCCCGTCGCACGGTGCCCGTTTACTTAGGCTTCCGTCAGGGCTAGACCCAGCCTTGGGCCTAGCGCTATTGGTTGTAGAATTAGACTTTCGTTAAGGAGATACAGGGATCGAGGTCGAGCGGCGACGACGCAGGAACATCAGAGTGGCGTGAAGGCGTCAATGGGGTCGAGGGCCGGCGGGGCCATCCCCCTTGGTTTTGCCGATGACCGTGTCGAAACGGTACTAGTGGTTTCGTTCCCGCGTTCGTTGTATCCTGACGGTTAGAGGTTCTAGAGATCTCATTATTATTCTGTTTTTATGCGCTGGTATTTCTCGACTCAGACACGACGCCGAATTCCCTTTGAGGCCGTTTCGGCAGTCGAGGACCTAGAACGGGGCAAGCTGTGCCCAGACAGGGGCAGTTTAAGGCGCAGCAGTAAGGGCCGCAGGCAGCGCACTACGGTCAGGCATGGGGAACCTTCTCCGCGGCGGTCTTCAAAGTTCTCATTTGAATATTTGCTATGGCCACCAAGATTTGCACCGCGGCTCGCGTCGCCAAGGTTCACACTAGAAGTTGCAGTGGGACCACGCCTCAATCCTATGATCTGTTACGTAGGGAAAGTCAGTGGGAGCACGCCCATTGGGGACCGGAAAAGCCATGAACTGCATAGGGAAGGAGCAGCCGGGGCGTTGTAGCGAAGCTATATTGACTGGGACAGGGCCGGCATGGTGGGAGCCGAAGTACTGCCGCCTACCGCCCAGGTCGTCCGTAGTAACCAAGGTATAGGGGCAAGAGGCAATCGGACCGTCCAGAGGCAATGTCCACGGGAAGGCCGGAGCTGCTGAGCAGTTTTGCGCTCGACTGTGGGACCGAGCGCCACGGCCAGAGGAGATGCTGATGAAGGCCTGCAGTAATACTGACGGGTTAGTCAGTGGCGATCTGGGGAATACCGGCCGCAGATCGAGGGCGGAGGGAAACATATTGCGAGAAAGGCTTTGGGCATACCTCTTGGGCTGCCAACTTGCTGCAGCGGTTCTGGTGGCCAACGATGATGAAAGATGTACAGTTGTACGTGGAAACTTGTCAAGTATGCCAGAGAAACAAGCCCCGTACTCAGGCGCCTCTTGGGCTGCTCAAGCCCCTTCCGATTCCGGAAAGGCCAGRTGAAAGTTTATCCATGGACTTCATGGATACGCTGGTCACCAGCAAGAGTGGGATGAGACAGATCTTTGTCATCGTGGATAGGTTTAGTAAGTTTGCTAGATTAATAGCTATGCCAGGAACAGCGAAGACCGAATACGTGATCAGGCTATTTAWAGAAAACTGGGTYAGAGACTTTGGACTGCCAAAGTCTATAGTCAGTGACAGGGACGTCAGGTTCACAAGTGAATTATGGAAGGCCGCTGCAGCTGAACAAGGAACTCAACTGCAGATGACTTCTGGAAATCATCCAGAAGCTAATGGCCAGGCTGAACAAATGAACCGCGYTGTGYAACACCTGTTGAGGCATTACATCAAGCCCAATCAGGTAGACTGGGACGAAAAGCTTGCTCTAGTAGCTAGTCTATATAACAACGCTGTGCACAGTGCTACCGGGACGAGTCCTAACAGTCTACAACTGACATTCAAACCTAGACTGCCCTTAGATTTCCTACTTCCAGACAACCAGCCAACTGCTAAACCGGGCACTCTGGAGTTCGCCTATAGATATGAACAGAAGATGCAGGAGGYTGTAGAACACATGCAGAAGGCACARGCAGCAATGATAGAGTCTGAGAATAGACACCGCCGCCCTTCTACATTTCAGGTAGGSGACAGAGTCTGGGTCAAATCTTCAGAACTGGGACAGGAGTTCGGGATATCCCGCAAACTCATGCCTCAGTACTTTGGACCTTGGGAAGTTTTAGACGTAGTAGGGACAGATTCTGATGGTCCATCATATGTCATCCRTATCCCTGGYCATCTCAKAACTTACCCAGTCTTTCACGCCTCTAAGCTCGCTGCATTCAAGGAAACTGACCAGTTTCCCTCTCGTCGATCCATGCTGCCCCCAACCATAGATGGAGAAGTCGACATCGATKATATCGTCGACCACAGAGAGATACYCGTTCAGAAGCCTCCAGGAAGAGGACGTCCTCCCAAGCCAAAGCTGCAGTTCCGTGTTCACTTCAGACATCATACAGATCCAAAGGAGGACCGCTGGTTTACTCGGGAGGAATTGATGCAGACCGCCCCTCAGATCGTTGCCCGCTATGAGAGGGATGTTTTGAAAGGAAAGCGCCAGCTGGCGGTAGACTGATCTTCTCAGAGGACTAACGAAGATATGGAGGGAATGCGAGGCTACGCCCGCTTAGCCCCTACGGGCCTTATTTGCAGCAAGGTCGGCCGCCCTAAGTGAAGGCAGGCACGACAGGCCCTCAGGGCCTCGTTTTCAGGGTACCCCGCAAATGGGGAAATTCAGGCAGTTGCACAGCATCAGTTGGTTGAATGAACTCAGGCCYTGGGCYGCCYGTGTGAATGAATGTAAAGCAGGCCCTGGGCTGGGTACGGGTACCGGGCCAAGCACAGGCCGAAAGCAGTTGGGCACATGCAACTACTCCAGGCCCAATGCCTGCATTCTTCGTGACTGGGCCTCAGGCTACCGGGGGCCTACTGGAAGCTTCCTGGACTGGACGCAGGCAGGCCACTTCGATATAGGGAAGGGCCTGCCTCCTCATTCGACATTCGGGTGCTGGCTGCATGCTGCGTGAGCGCTGCTGCGCAATGCGCTGGCTGGCTGGCACTCACGCTCTCACGRGCGAGTAGGTGAGAGCACGCAGCCATAGCCAAGCTGCGCTGCTGTATGCTAGGTGAATCGCAGGGTGGTCCTTGGGGTGCTAGTGGCATCTGTGCGGTGTGGATCGGGGTTGTGAGTGTTACGAGAGACATACCTGGTGCTGAAGCGTGCGACATTGGTCGCCATATGCTCGTACTTCGGGAACGCTGTTGATGTCATCATTCTGCTTCGTAGTATAGGCTAGATAGGATCTGCCACCTGTAGTCTGGGCGCCGAGCGCCAATAGGATATCAACTCTGGTTCGTAGTTGATGATGATGGGACTACTTCAGCATTGTCAATTTTGAACTCTTGGTGTGTTCTTATTTGGTGTATCTCGTGATGCCAGTCTGCTGTGGTTCGAGGTCAAGACTATCTGGGCTCATATGTGTGATGCTGTTTGATTGCCAAAGTTCGCTAATGCTCATCTTCCTTGCAATTTGGTATCAGAGCTGTGGTACGATTGCGCTCATATGGCGCTTGTCTTCTGCCCTATACGGTACATACATGCGGTCTGCTGGGAGAGTTTGGTCGTAAGTGGTGTGCAGTGAGGAGGGTGGAGACGAGTGTGAAGGCGACCCAGGTGGTGAGGGGCATCGCCTGGAAGGCTAAGGTGTGAATATTGGGTGTTCGCAGTGTGATGAGAACTATCTGTTGGGTGATTGAGGCTGAGGTGGAACGGCGAAACGCAGGTTGTGCCAATGCT